TTGTATGGAAACCAACTGGACAATAAATTTCATATTTAAAAAAATAAAAATAAATATATAATAAAAATAAATTCATATTTTGAAGGATTGCCCTGAAGATAGTCAAGCCAAGATCTCTTTGAGAAGCTTATTGAGAACTGTGTTTATTTGTTTGTTCTTTGGCAATTAAGTATGACTTTGGGTTAGTTACCCAAGATTACCCAGAGCCACACACTCGACTTTTCAATCGCTCTAGGCTGGTTTCTTTGTTTTGTTTTGGGTGACAAAGGACAGTGACTACCCTTGTGAAACAATTTAAAATAAGCTCCATTTTTCACACGTTGTTCAATCCATCATGACTGGCATCACTGACGAGGGAAGGAGATTCAGGCGGATGTCCTCTTTGAGTGACCCGAGGTATGGTGACCTGATGCCCCTGAGCCATGGCTATCTTTGAGGGAAATCGCAGGGAAATATCAGTCATAGGAAAGGGTTACCCCAAGATGTTAAAACAGCATCTCCGGTTCTTGCTCTTCTCACATACAAATCTCCTTTTGAACTCTAGGCTCATGGCCATGGCTGTGACTCATTCAGGTCGGGAAGAGACTCAGGTTTTCACACAGAGGGAACAAGAACCTGGAAGGCCTGAAAGAACCTGTCCTACATGATGAGAAAGACTATGGGAGGAGTTTTTCTAAACACCAAGTAGGAAAAATAGTCCTTGTTTATGTTATGCCATTATCTTAGGCAGCTCTTCTGTTAAGAAATTCCTTTGATTAATCTGGTACATGACGGGTAAGTATGATGGGATACAGCCCATCAGTTGATGTCCAAGAATCCTACATTCACTGCCTGATACATAAAATCTTCCCTGTCTTCCTCTTAAATTGGGCTATTAGCTCTCTATATGTAGGAGATGACCTCGTTTTCCCTGTCAAGTCCTCTTACAGAGTGCTTTTACGCTGTTTAACTCCCCAGATGACTTACAATGGCGGTTTCTAACACTGGCATTTTACATTCTTAATCAGCTATCCTGGCAACAGCAGATAGCTGACGACACTTGAACTAGCAGAATACCATCTGCCAGTGGAGACACCCTCTTGGTCACCATCAGAGTTGATGGGAACTATTTGCTCTACAGATGAGCTGGCAGGAAGCCAAGAAGATGGACATTCACTTCCCAGTGGTTGAACTTAGCTAGATACACATCTCTACATAGTCAGTGTCCCTATGCTTTCTTAGAGTGTCAAGGCCGGTGCCCTGGGTCCTCACCACAGACCCAGATCTCCACGATCAGATCTTCACACTTCCACAGGCAGCAAGAACCGTATCTTTATTGCTTTTCCTCTGACACCACAGCATGCTTTATATGAATTTGCTTACATGATAAAGACTTTGCCCTTTTGTTGGCTCTTTCCACTCTGCTGCAGCCACAGGAGATTTGCATATTGTCCCCTAGGGAGGACCTTCCCTTGCAAGTCTGAGATAAAAGGTCACCTCTAAACTTGCTTTGACTTATCAGGGCTCATCCTGTTCAGCTTCTCAAAATGAGGTTCCCTGCTCAGCTCCTGGGACTCATCATGCTCTGGATCCCAGGTGAGTGCAAAGGGGGCGATGAGAAAGGAGAATGGGGTGGGGAGAGGGTGCCCCTGCTCTCCATGTGTATTCTGACCATGTATGTTCATGCTCCAGGGAAGAGAACTTGATATTTTGCCTATGAGAATTAGGAACTACCTAAAACAAACAATGACTAGTGTCAGATGAATTCCTTGAGACAGAATCATTTTTATGCCTTGTAAATATTAATTTTTTAATTATGATATGGGTCATTAATTAAAAAAAAAAAACCAGATGAACCTGAAATAATTAACAAAGGAAAATCAAGAAAATTGCTTATAATGTCTGTATGTAACCTTGAACTTCTTTCTCTTTAATTTAGGATCCAGTGGGGATATTGTGATGACGCAGACCCCTCTGTCCCTGTCCGTCACCCCTGGAGAGCCAGCCTCAATCTCCTGCAGGGCCAGTCAGAGCCTCCTGCACAGTGATGGAAATACTTATCTGAATTGGTACCTGCAGAAGCCAGGCCAGTCTCCACGGCGCCTGATCTATAAGGTTTCCAACAGGGACCCTGGGGTCCCAGACAGGTTCAGTGGCAGCGGGTCAGGGACAGATTTCACCCTGAGAATCAGCAGGATGGAGGCTGACGACTTTGGAGTTTATTACTGCGGTCAAGCTTTACAGTATCCTCCCACAGTGGTTAAACTTTGAACAAAAACCTGCCCGTCTGGGATATTTCAACTGCCCAAAAGTGTCGTTTGTCTGTCTGGGGAAGCCACCGCAGATTGTCTGAGTCTGTGTGGGCGGAAGAAGTTGGACAACTCAGGGGAATAGGTTGCAGCTGAGGGCCCCAGACCATGAGGGCTTTGGCTGCCCCTCAGGCTCCACGTGTTAAGGTCCCATCAGGTGCCACAAGCTAAGAATGGCAGAGCCAGTCTCGCGATGTTTCTGTGGACTTAGACATGGGCTTATCTTGGGTGTATTGTTAGCAATGGAGTCTGCATCACAGGGCTGGCATATGTTTGGCTCCGGCAAGCACTGCCGAATGGTTTTCCAACAAGTCAAACGTACACTCCGCACCTATGTACAAATTCCAGTTGCTATAAATCCTTTGCAACACTTCTTATGCCACACTTTTTATCATATCCATATTGCTAGATCCTGAAATGGTATGGTGGTAAACATTTATATTTCCTTGATGAGGAAGACGTCGAGAAATTTTTCATGCTTATTTCCGATTAGCTATTTGGATATTCTTTTTCTTGGGAAGTGCTTGTTTTGCTTGTTTAACTGATATATACACTTACCTATCATCATATTGATATAATAGGTAATTTGTATGTTTATACATAAATATATATGGCTTGTCTCTTCTCTTGTAGGGAGTTCTTTATACATTCAGAAATAATCTTTTTGTCAGATTGGAGTATCCTCTCATGCTTTACGACACGTCTATTCACCTTTTAAATGATTATTTGAAATGAAATTCTTAATTTGATGAAGTCTCATGTATCGAATTTTTTCCTCCCACAATTATATGGCCAGGTTGTTTAAAATGTATTTGCCTCCCTTTCTGGGTAGGTGGGTGACTCAGTCGGTTGAACGTCTGATTTCAGCTCAGGTCATAATCTCACAGTTCATGAGTTTGAGCCACCTGTCCGGCTCTGTGCTGACAGCTCAGAGCCTGGAGCCTGCTTCAGATTCTGTGTCTCCCTCTTTCTGCCCCTTCCCCACTAGCGCTATGTCTCTCAAAAATAAATAAAAACATTTAAAAATTTAAAAATATATTAAAACATCTTTACCCCCCCTTTAGGGACCAAAGATACCCTCCGACACTTTCTTCATTAAAGCATAATTACTTTAACGCCTACATGTAGAAATATGATCCTTCACTAACTCGTGCTTTTGCTTGATATGAGTTGGGCCAAGGTTTTTATTTACATTTTCATAACTTATTAAAAAGTAAAAATGACCAATAATCCACCTTACTGCCTTTGTTAGAAATCAAGGGACGGCGTACATGTGGGTCATTTCTTGGACTTTTTGTTTAGTTCTATTTGTTTGTCTATCTTTATACCCAGCATACACTACACTGTATTATGCAGCTTTGTCATAAGTTTCAAAACCTCTCATTATTAGTTTTCTGACATTATCTTACTTCTTAGGAGTTCCTTGGAGATTGTAGATCATATAAATTTCATGTAAGTTAGTTTATCAATTTCTTCAATTTTGAAAAAAAGTCCTTTAGGAATTTTAATTGGATTACATTGAATATTTATATCAATTTGGGAAAAATTTAATCTTAATAATGTTGACTCCTTTACGTTATCAACCTAGAAAATATCTCTAGATACCAAAATCTTCTCTAACCCACAATAGATGTTATATATGTTTTTATTTATTTATTTGGAGAGAGAAGGAGAGAGAAAGAGAATCTGAGTGGGGGAAGGACAAAAAAAGAGGGAGAGAGAGAATCCCAAGCAGGCTCTGTGCTGTCAGTGCAGAGCCTGACGTGGGGCAGGTTCTTATGAACCGTGAGATCATAACCAGGGCCGAAATCAAGGGTGGGATATTAACTGACTGAGCCACCCCGGCACCCCTAGGTATTTTAGAGATCGACACTGAACCCAAAGCCTTTGCTAAGATATTTCCAGTGTTTTCTTTTAGATTTTTAAAGATTTATCACACAATTTGTTATCGTAAGTAAGGACAGTGTAATGGAACACATTTTACAAGGTTTTACATTATGAAGATGAAATACAGAGGCAGGTAACACTGCATCCTTATTTCCTGTCTTTTTTTGATTCATTTTTAACCTCAGGTATTTATGGTGACATTATGTCTGACTGAGTCCCCAGTCTCTGTCTGGAGCTTCTGGAGGGAGAATTATCATTACCCCCAAGGCCAATGAAAGTCTCAAGGACACTGATGGGAAAACCGTTTTGAACTGGTCCCAACAGAAAAGGGGAAAACCCAAGCACTTCATTTACCATGTTTCCCAGTTACAACCTGGGGTCCCGGGATGGTTCAGGGGCAGTTAGTCTGACAGGGATTTCCCACTGACCATCAGCAGCCAGGAGGCTGAAGCTGCCGCCATCTTCCTTCCCTCCTCCCACAGTGATGCAGTCTTCAACAGAGACCCCACAAAACACATCTCCACGAGACTTCACTTTCAGTTGCTTCCCCTGCCCAGGCCCCTACTTGCCTGGTCTTAATCAGTGACTTGATTAATCTGTGGCTATTTAATTGAAACAGAAAACCAAAACCCAAACCAGAAACCCCAGGTCTAGAAGGAGCCACCTGAGTTTTAGTCAAGGACCATCCAGTGCCATTTCAATATTCTTGTAAATAAATAATTAATGCCTTACAGTTATTTTCAGTCGCATGAAGGTAGAAAAAATTTCTTGTCTTGAAAGAAGTCAAGAGATGAGGTACATGCAAATCACACTTGAAGGATGACAAACACATTTTATCCATTTTAAACCAAACCCGGCTACGCGTTAGTATTTTCTTCGTTACTGGGTGAAAGGTTTAGTGAGGAGAGGAATCATTTTGTGTTCCCTACAGACTCTGGCCTAGTGATGGATGTCATAGCGTCAACTTCATGAATAACAGTGAAGAGTCTCACAGCCCAGACTCAAAGGGACCCCACATCAAAAAATCCTTTGAGTTGCTATATCATACCAGAGCCATTAGATGGCAGGCAAACCCCACGATAAACAACAAAGAAGACCCCACCCCCCCCCTCCCCCCAGTCCTGATCTTCAAATACTGAGAGAGCAAGAGTGATATTGCCCAGTTATGACCCAGGAGCTCCAAAGGCTGAACGGGTTCTCTGGTGCGATGGGGACACTTGAGAGGAGCTGTCTCTGTGCTGGGTGGTGGAGAAAACCCTCTGTGTGGCTGTGCCCTAGGCCAACGTGGCCTTGGCCCATCCCCTCTGTGATGGCTGTGTCTCAGAGCACTTCCCTACCTTCTTGGGGCAGGGTCAGCTTCAGCAGGAACCTCGAGGACATGGGGACCCCGGCTTTGCTCCTTCCTTCTTGCTGACTGACTCTGGTGAGGAAGGAGGACTCAGGCTTCATCCTCAGCTTGTTGGCATTAAACTTGGACATTTAAACTTGGACCAGTAATACATCAAACTGAATGAGCTATCTGCTTAGTATTAACGCTTGGGGACGTCCATGTTGGCTTTCCCACTTAGGTGCCAGTGGGGACACTGTGTGGACATCTCCTGCGTCCCTCCCTACGGTCCAGGAGAGAGGGTCACCATTCCCTGCAGGGCCAGCCAGCGGAGGAACACTGCTGTAGCCTGAAATCAGCAGAAACCAGGAAGGGCTCCTGGGCTCCTGCTCACTCACGCTGCCCCCTGGACGCGATGCCTGCCTGGTCAGGGGCAGTGGGTGGGGCAGAAGTCACTCTCATCAATGACCGAGATGCTTGCAGGAACACAGGTCCTGTCC